TGATGAGGTTTGTTTACCTCAGATGGGGCTACATAACCACATCTGACTTAACATATCTACCTGAGAGTCGTGACTTTGAAGATTGCCAACTGACGGGATAACTCGGTCCCCCTTATGAGTATTGAAGAGTGACTAGGGGTCAGGCCGCAACGACTGCTCCGGAATGCGGTCTTTGTGACGCTCGATAACGTGAGCCTCGAGTCATACTCATTGGGGACCACATCGCGCGTGGCACGCGTAGACCAGCCAGTCACGGCGTCCGAGTCACCTTCGGCCGTCTGACATTGTCTTGTCATCGGAACAAGGTGGCTGAGGGAAGAGGGCGTGTAGTAAATGCTGTCCCACTATGAACACATCTCAGGGCAGCTTATCGTTCTACGCCCACTCGGCAGATCTCCGGGTGCGCGTCATCGCTTGCGACGGTTAAACGACAAGGGATAAGGGAGCACATGCCAACGAGGCTTGAATGGGGTGAGCTAGATCAGTAAGCAGCTTTTTCCCTACCCACCTGGTCCTCCAGCGGCCAGCGGTTAAGCATATGAAATAGCCTACAGAGCACTGTCTACATCTTGAAGGCATCGTCTGCCAGTCAGGGAGGAGAGAACGACAGTCACACATTGCGCAACTCAGTCTTATATGTGCAAATGAATGTACTGACTACTCCGGGCGCCTGCTACAACTGCGTTTCTCGAACCTACTTGCATGCGTGTACCAGTGGCAATCTGCTGCTCAGCTATCCACGGCTTCCTATACCGGACAGCCGACTTAGGCATGCCCTAGCTCAAGGTGCTCTGACGCCTGCCCTGGTAGCACTCGAACGCCTGTTGTTGTGTTCCCAGACGTGCGCCTCTTGTCCGACTGCCATTTTGCCCCAACGTACTCTCCATCCATTCTGTACAGAATAAAATCTCCTCTTTACTGACGTAAAACTTCTCTTTCTATTCAGGATGGTGTCCGAAGATCGTAGTGGCCAGTGCTGACCTATTACTTAAGCTGCCGCGACATAAACCCCACCCAATCATGGCCCCCCAACGTAAGCTGCCGGAGGAGCGTAGGCCAGTCTTTGCGTCTACATGTTGATCCAGGCTCCTCTGCTAGCTGAGGGACTCATATACCTGAGGTACTATCTACCTCCGCCATCTCCCCGTTTACAGTCACCATATTGTCACTAAATCGTCACGTAAATATACAAGCCCGGCAAAAATATTCCTTTCGAGTAAGCAACGTTGGAAATGCATCTGGGATAAGAAAATTAGAGTGCGTCCAAAACGTCTTAAAATAGAATAAAAGCAATGTAGATTGACCGCGCATCTCGAAGGATGCCGATTGGTTTGTCCAATCGAATAAGACCCCGTAGGTTTTTAATAGGAATGACAGTGGCTTAATTCTCTTCGACTAAAGCCTCCCCCTCCCTCCTCCCGAAATGTCGGAGTGCTTTACAATGGTCCTATTTAGAGAAGCTTGTTGAATACCCCTTTCAAGCTGATTTTATGAAACGTTTAACTCTCCCTCTCAGGTATGACCTAACGCCGCAAGCACATATTCTGGGTCCGCCAGCGGCCACTGTCGACTGAGAGAGCAACCCAGAGTTCTATATACAATAAATCCCTCAATCTGGCGACTCCTGTCCATTCCCACAACTCGGGCTTTGGCCTAACGATTGTGGCGCTCTGACTACACTCTGGCTGCCTAGCCGCTACAAACTCTAGTAGCAGGGCGTGACTGTGTTCTCTGCGCTTAACCACAAAGCCAGATACCCCGTGCAACGCTCCATAGAGACATCGGCCACTGACTGAAGGGATGATAAAATGCACGCCTGAGGTTCTTTGGAAGTCGGAACTTTGATCTGCAAGACAGGGCTGGGTCGTTTGCCTTTCAACTTCAAGTGAGGGTTGCGAGAGTGAGTACATGTTACTATCAGCAAAGTACTGAAACGCTGATCGTAAAACCGATCCGGGGCAAAGACTGGTTTGTTTTGCAAGCCAAGGTGCTAACCATAAATGTCCAAGCATGTGGATATGGCGCGGGGGAGGGGGGGGGGACAGAAGTGATAGTCAGGTGGAAGCTGTGCGCGTCCGCCTAACCATAACTTAACACCCATGAAAGTCATTACTGCCTGGAGGTGGTAATGTTCTTGACAGAGAACAGTAGATGACGCACTAGAGACACTAGATAATAGTGTAGTCATAGTTGAAGAGACCAGGAACGTTGCTACGCGAACTCCAGCAAGAGCTGTAGACCTGGATCGCCAGGCAGAACGTGGCACCCGTATATTCCAGCAACAGGATCAAATCAGTGAAAGCTACTGCCGCATGACTGAATAATCCCGACGACTAGAGCCTTCTCCCATCCCCCCGAAATGCCGAAGTGATTGACAGTGATCCTGTTTGGAGAAACTGGCTGAAGCCCTCTTCCAAGCTGATTTTATCAGAGGTTTGACCCTTTCTGTCAGAGTATATGAATTTTAAATCTAAAAAGGCTTTTTGCCCATAAAGACGTCGTCGAAGCTTCAGCAAGGATCTTCTATGTGTAATACTCGAGTGCGTGTTTAGTCTTCTCACTTTCCGCAGTAGCTGTTGAGTAAGTTATACTTTGTTTAATTAGACAGAGTTCGACAGTGTAAACGTCCCAGAAGAAAACGCGATTCATGCGCTTGTTAGTCGGGATCGTGAGAACCAACTATTTGAACACACTGCATCACATTTACATTTAGTTAATTTTAAAGCACACTGAGATGAACCATCTACACTGTTGACTTTACGAAGGTTTTGAATTCCGCGCGCGAGTTAGGTTTTCCCGTTCTCTCCTTCTCGAAACCAGGAACCTTTTTTGTAGAACAGCATTCAGTGGAGCCAGCTCCCGTTCCTGCAAGCTGGCTCCTTCCTCCATACAGTAGCTTACATGTACAGTAGAGACAAGATGCTTCTGAAATTGGCTACCAGTAGGAAATACGTCAGTCATTTGATTTGACCTTGATCACCAGAGACAGAGTATTCAGCAGACCTCCTCGCCTGACCTTGAACATTTTCATTAAAAGGGCCCTTCAACTCTGACGTCGACCTCACACATGGCTACACCTGTTGCTTGTTCCTTTCTGGGCCTCACAGTTATGCGTTTAAAGCTTACACCCAT